AATAATAATAATAATAGTAATAGTAATAGTAATAATAATATTAATATTGATATTAATATTAATAATAACAATAATGGTAACAATAACAATAATAACAATAATAATAATAATAATAATAATAATAATAGTAATAATAATAATAGTAATAGCATTAGCAGCAAGAACTACAATAGCAGTGATTATAATTCATAATTAATAATCAGTAATGTAATTAATAATTAACAATTAATAATTGACCGCCATTAATGGTAATAATAAAGCAAAAAATAGCAAAAATAATATGAACAGTAGTTGTATTGACGACAATGCACACTTATATGCCTGAATATGAAAATAAGAAACTTTGATTGATAAGGTGGATTTAATTATGGATGTCAAAAGAAGCAATCTTTATTATGAAGCACTGTAAGTCGTAACAGAGGAAAGACAGAAGCATCAGGAAAAACAAGAAGAGACATAAAAAATAAGCAAAAAGCATTGATGTATCAAAAAAAGAGGCAAGAAGAGTTATGTACTTTTACAGCTAAGTTCAAATCACCTTACTTCTGCTGAGAAAACGCACTCTGCCCCCTCTTTCTTCTGACTTTTATTTCTTTCCCTTTTAAATTCTTTAAGTTTCCTCTTCCTGATTCCAACCAAATGAACAGTCTTTCCTGAGTACTACTGATGCCCAGGTGTATTGTTTTAATGATAAATTCAGAGACAATCACCGGTCAAAAATCCAACACTAATTACAGTCAACACTCTGCACACACTGTCGTACCCTCCAAAAAAAGATTGTAAGTCGTTTATCTTAAGAGGTCTACGCTTTTGTGTTCTACAAATTGTGAGTAGCCGTTATAAATACAACAGCAAGAATTTTCTCTTTCAGTCGAAAAAATGACTCCAGGTAAAACTGATTTTGCTTTTTCTTGCCACTTTTTTTGTTGAAAAACAAAGAAAAAGTTTTTTATCGAAAATTATTACTAGGTATCCAAGTACAAAACTGTAATTTACAGCCAAAACAGCTGAAAATAATCAAAGATCATCCGACAAGTTCTTCTGATCAAAAATAGAAAATAGGAATATCAGTTCCACAACTGCCGCTAAATTAGGTTAAGATACCAACTAGCTGCCAATAATCTTAAATGATCTCATGGTAAATCGAGGCACGACTGTACCCAACAAAAATATTGAATAAAGAGTGAATACACTTAAGAATGCTAATTCTAGTCTCTAATTCCTACATGGATCGTCACTACGACAATGTAAAAATTTTGAGCAGTAAGTCAGATGATTATGCAATGATTTTTTTCTGCTGAACAACGAATAATGAGCAAATTAGGTATAGAGCGTTATTCGTTTTAACTTCTTCTGTTGGCACAACACCTTTCCTCTTTTTTCTTTCCAAAAGCAGATGCATTTTTAATACAAATTATTGCGGCTTTCAATTTGATACAGGCTGGAAATAGAGGGTCTATTATTTATCGCAGTACAGAAGCATTTTATAACGCTTATCTTAAAAGCAAAAAAGAAAAAAAAAAGGAAGGAACTTAATTCCTATTTTCTCTCATATATACAATTAGTGGTTGGTTGGTCGAATTTTGATGTAGAAAATTATATTGAACTTAAAAAAATTTTTTTCAAAAACCGCTTCACGTTATTTCCTTTTCTTTTATTTGCTTTTTTTTGTCTTTTAATTGCAAATTCCCCATCTTTTATTCGTTCTCCTATTGTTATGAAAATGTAGAAGTTGAAAGAAGAGACGAAAAGTAAGCAGTTCGTAGAAGACGATTGATTTTCTCAAAGAAAAAAGGATGAAAACAGTTAGTGAATGAGTAGAAATTGGAATTTTTTTGTTAAAATCAATACCTTCGCTATACTGTCAAAGTTCTTTTAGTTTCTCTGCAAACGAAAACAGAACGAAGAAGTAAAAAACACTTTTAACATGAAGACAACGAACAAGAAAGGCACAAATATACATACATTGCAAATAATTAAAAAACGAAAAAAAATAAAACAGAAAACTTTAGAGAAACTCTCTTAAAAAAGCTAAAGAAGTGAGGAAACACCAAAGTGGCCGCAGAAAAGTTTAGTTTTTTTTGTGTCTTTTCATTTTTTGTAATAGAACAGAGGTAAACAGTAAGTTTTTTTTGTTGTCATCCTTGTATCTCCACAAATTCTTAATTTTCAGACTAATTTTATCGACCAACGTTCACTTCATTCAAACTCGCGGTATCAAATTCCTGTTAAACCGCAACATAACATCACGTTCCATACGTTGCGGATCATCGATCGATTTCAGAAGTGAAATCGGATCGAACATCACTTGTGACAACGACCCATCAACTGAATCTGCCACTGAGTTGGCAAAAATTCGCTCGAGCGACACAGTGGAAGATGGTATTGTTAGAAGTTCAATTGCTATTTCCGCGAGATGACCACATTTGATAGCGTTGACTTGCCAAAACTGTAGTGGCAGCAGGTGTCGTCCACTTAACCCGTTCGGAATGCCTCGTGTGAAAGAAGCCGTTAAAGGGCTACCAGATAGTGGTTGCGTTGTTCCAGACTGAAAACTTCCTAACATTAATTTGTGTTTTTCCTGCCGATGTTTCAAAGACAAGTGGAAATAACTTTCCGCTATCTTTAACTGTCTGACACACCGTAAAACATAAAATGGATGACAATTTCTACTAAATCAAGGCTTACAGCCAATTCGTCAAAGTATGACTGGATGATTGCTTCTGCATAACGGTTCTTGGAGTCATTTTGCTGACGCTCCTGTAACAAAAGAGAATCAGAACTTTCAAAAAGCAATTATGTTTTATATTGTTTTAAACTTCGTGGAAGGAAAAGTGAAAATTGTTATTGCAGAACAGATGTTTAAAACTTCATCGACCTCAAATAATGAATTAAAATGATAGCGAGCTAGCGTAACGGTCAAGAAACGACGCTGGCAATCTTTTCTATGGAAATTCAATTATCATGCAATACCTGTAATGCTATGACAGTTTAAACAACAACCTGCATAATCTTGCGTCTCTCATTAGCGGCATGAACTAGATCGGGATACAGTGAAGATGACGACGATAAACCAGGCGCTACCGGAGCCTCCGGGGACGTAGCAGCACTTCCTGAAGATAGGGTCGATAACGACGATGATGTTTTCCGATCGACAACTGCTGCCAGTAGCGCGTCAACTCCGCCGTTTAGTTTTAAGTTACGGCGTGCAACTGCTTCTTCAGCTGCTCTCATTCGCTCGTTTAGCTAAAATTTCTCCCATTATTAGTTTATCTACCTGAGTAACCATATTAATTTGATCCTCGACTATGCTACTTGCCAAAGAACGTAAGATAAATTGTTTGAAAGAAAACCTGTCTTTCAATAGCGTTCTTTGCATACGCAAGCTGTTCATCGTCCAAAAGTAGAGCTAATTGATGGTTCAATGCTGTCGCCTGAATGAATGAGCCATCAAAATCTGGTGAAGAAATGTCGAGAATTGAAGCAGTACGTTGACGGAGATCCGCTTTTAACTGACTGGCTAAATCTCCAAGCATTCCAAAGTCCTAGAAGAATAAGATTTTCCTCTATTTTGTTGCGTCTTAATTTTTCAACCACTTCCTACAAGTTTACCTTATCGAGAGAGAGTTGCAGTTGCATCAAAGAGGGTACAACACCGTCTATTGTCGCGTACGTCCCATCTTGAATGACGTTCATGTGAGCTCGAAACAGACGAAGAAGACGTGAAACTGCATCTAATAACTGCCTAAATTGATAATTCAAGTTTTACTCACAAAAAGCTATTAAGAATGTAACAGCAAAACTTAAGTATATTCTTGAGAATTAATGCTGAGAAACTAGAAAAAGTTAATGCAAAATAACCATTTTTCTTCCGTTAAGAATTCGCCAGGGTTTTCCAAGCAGAGCTGCGAACACACAAACAAGAATGGCTCTTTTAGTTCAAGAACAGCATCAATTAAATTTAAAAACGAATCAGTTATTGGCAGTGACACAGAACGTCCTGAAATCAGTTGCGATTTTTATATCTATACTAAAACAGACTGCTCCACTTCACAACAACAAAAGCTTTTACCAGCTGCTTCTTGTAGCAGTTCAATAGCCTGTGGTTTTGTCATAAAGTTGAGGATCATGCTGTAAAAACTCTTCTTTAAATCCTCGACAGTCTCGTTCTGATCAATGACGTTTAACAGTGACTGAGTCAACTTTTGGTTGTATGGTTCTAGCTGAAAAAACAAAAACGTTTTCATTGTAATCTAGCTATGACATTTTTAAAGTTAATAACGCTAACAAATACAAGACTGAAAAACTTTGACTTTTTTTTTCAAAAAAAAAAAAAAGTAAAACCATTTTTGGAAATAGCTGTCCTGCTGCTGGCGATTTCTCCAAAAGATCTGAGATTCCATTTGCAATATAGCGCGACACTTTGTCATGTGCAATCTCGTAGTCAGCGAGAACCTAAAAATTTGGATAAAAGAAATCGCGAATTAAAGTAAGGACTTTTTAGAGTACTTCGAAAAAGTGGTAACCTGATTTACAGTACTGCGAATGGATTCTGATATTGTACCGTCTTCGACAAGGGCTCTCACGCCAAGCAAAGCCACCTCCATCCGTTGAGTTAAAGCGCTACAGTAAGCAGCAGAAATGCAAAGGCGAACAATGGGGCGTGGTTCATCAGATGCTAGAGCAACGCGAGGAGAATTCTCCGCTGACTGATTCTCGTCGCTAGAAGCATCAAATCCGCTATCCGAATCTTTAGCCTCGACTTCTTTTTTCTCTTTAGCAAACAGCTAAAATCAACCAGCAGCGTAGTTAATTATTATAATAACTTTATTTGCTAACAGAAATAAAGGAAAGTTTTTACAGAGTTACGCATCAGTGGTAAAAAAATGAGAAATTTAAAGAAAGTTTTTATAAATACCTTGTCGTCAAACAGAGAAGTTGTTGACGAAGATGGAGCAGTTAACTTCAAGACATCAATCATTATAGCAACTTTTTTCGCTATAGAAATTTGATTTTTAATATTAATGACGGTTCTGGAGTGCTGCGTATTCATTATCTGTGAAAAAAGAAAAGCATTAGTTCAATTTAAACAGACTTAAATTTCAGTTGTTTTGAAGGTTTTTAACTGCAATGTTGGTGCCGAATAAATAAAAAACTTATGAAAAAATATTTTTAATTTTTAAGAAACAAGAGATCCAAATAGACGAGGAACGTTACTACCAATGTTTTTTTATGTTTTTTTTTTAAAGAAACACCGCAGTTTATCTAGCTGACAACGGAAACAGCAACTGCAGGCCTCACACCTGAATAAACTGAGAGAATAGAAGAAAATGACAGTTAATAACTCCTGCAACAAACCTCCTCTAAGTACTGGACATCTTGTGGTACTGTAAACTTCGGTTGTGCGTATTCAATAAATTCTTTAAAAAAAGAGTTTTCGATTATATTTGTTGGCAGTTGTGTTGCTGAAAGCATAAGAGCCAAACGAGTCTCCATGTCCTTCTGCTTCCTCTCTTCGCGACCCCACTTTCTGCTACTTAGAACGTTACCATTTGGTATACCGCCAGCAAGAGAAAGGAAGTTCGCTGCCAAAAGAGTTTCGCCAGCAGCTGAAATTTGAAAGTGTAACTTAATAGTCTGAATGAAGTTAGAGAATTGTTAGACTTACAGTCTGAATAAGTGGACAAAAATTTGAAATTCAAGCCTCTTTAAAAGAGGAACTCACTAAGTACCAGCTATATAAGTCACTAAACCAAAAAAATAGTTGACAGTTTCATAAACACCATTTTTAGAATTTAAGTTGTTAAAGACGTTTCGAGCATTCATTGGTGTCACTGCAGCATTTTTCAACAGTTCCAAATTTGGCAGCGAAGCAGAATTGACATTCTGTAAGCCAACACTGGGATAGTCACTGTTTCGAGCGTTCAAGGCATTTAGAATGGTACTGAAAACAATTAATGTACTCAAAAAGAAATTGCAATAAAGAATGAGCATTAAACAGTACCACAGTAAAGAAAACAAATCGTACGAATGTTTCAAAAACAGATACAGTTACTCTCTTGCTCTCTCTCCCTCTATCTTTTAGAAATACTTAAAAAATTAAAGCACTAACTGACCGAAAATACTGTAACGATTTGAAAAGATTAAGTTGTTCTGATAACTATAAAAACTGAATTCAGACCTAGCCGCATTATTTTTTACAACCGAGTTCGTTGCGTTCTTGTTGCTTAAGTTGAGGACTCCATTTGTGGGATCATTGAGACGACCAGCTTTAAGTACATAATTGGTACTTCCCGGTCTTGGCCGACCAGTGACTCCATCGGTTACCGACCCAGCAGTTGATGACGACGGTGACGAAGGCAACTGACCACCGTTACGTTCACGCGTATATTCTTGCTGAAACTTACTTTGAATTTCAGTGCAACAATTTAATCGCAGATTTTTAGCAAATTTTTTTTTAAAAAAAATACTTTTTAATATTTTGTTGCATATAAAACTATTTTATTTTATTAAATTCTCTCTCATTTAGAATGTTTGCTTTGTAATCCTTCAAAACAAACCTTCAGTTTTTGGAACTCAGCATATTCGGCCGGATGCTTCTTCAAATGACACGCTAGTGTGCTCGTATGTGGACCTTTCAGAAGATACGTGCAATCACCAACAATACAACTGAAAGTTTCCATATTTATCAACAACTACGACTAAAAACAGCTTACAAAGAATCTCCAGTTTGAGTATAATAGGCAAAACTGTGCAGATAAATTAAATAAATTATCTTCTGAAGCGCACGCAAGTTGATGAAAGAAAGTGGATAACAATACTTGAATAATCGAACAAGTACAGCAAATTTTTTCAAAAAAAAGCAATTTTTTCAATAGCCACCAACCGGCTAAGGTTTTCCGATTTACTGTACACAAAATATTTCCAAACCGGGGTTTGCTTATTGGTACCTCCACTACGGATTGCAGCCGCAGGGTTTCGGTGCCATGACCAGTCGTCTTCACCGAATAATGCTGCAGCCGGTGAGGCAGCAACAGCGAGAGCACCGGGAATAACGGGACCTGTGAATAAAAGTAAATTAAATTAACGTAAACGTTTGTTTTAAAGACAAAATTAATAAATTTCTAAAAGATGAACTTCACTTAAATTATTGCATGAAGTAGAAATTTAGTACAGTTACCGGTTGGAGTCGTCGATTTCGGAGTGCGATGATGCGTTTTTGTTTGACCGCTATGCTGTGTCTGTTGGTTCTGCTGTTGCTGCTGCTGTAATTAGAAAAGCAAAACAGTATATTATTTAGTCAGTCATAATAAAGAAGCAAATTTATGCTAATAATATAACTGTCATCGAATATTAATTTCCCACTACTAAACACCATCACGCAGATTATTCACTTATAACTTTCACAGAAAAATTTTTTGACGAAAAGCTAGACAGCTATGGCTTAATTTATAAGAAGAAAAAAACGATAAACATTTAGCTCTAAAAGTAGCTAATTTACTTCTTCTCTGAAAATAGGGATTAAATTAAGTAACCCTCCTACCCTTCTCCTATGTTTCGACAGATGGAACGTAAACAAAAACCTACAACTGCTTAACAAGACCAGTAGGCTTGGGCATCTTCAAACAAAGTACTAAGTGCAAAATCTCAGTTAGGCTAAAGTAACCATTTCCCTGCTATTGGGAAAGCTTAGAGATAAGGAGCTGTTATTTTAGTTTTCCTTCGCCAATGTTTCCCAGTAGATACATTGCTTATATAACTTATGCGTAAAAAATTCTCTGACGTCACTCAAAAGTTATATGCAGAAAACAGAAAATCAAAAGTTTTCCGCGGAAAGGTTTCTTTGCTCATTGTCTATTTCTATCATTAGAGGTCTATTATGTAGACATTACAGAACAAATTTTTTTCACCAACCGTTTAACCTAACCGAGCCTTCCAGCGATATAACAGAACCTAGAAAAAGACGTTTTTCTAAATTAAAGCGAATGAAAAAGAGAGAAAGAGCAAGGGAATGAAGTGAAGCGATGAGAAGGAGAAGTTTGGAAGGGATATAAAAGCAATAGAGGTATCTTGCAACAATATTAGTACGTAATCAAATGATTTTTATCGTCAAATATTTTAAAATAAGATAGACTGTTGCAAAACAACTGTTCTCCATATTCTTAGTCTGCCCTTCCCACCTTTTAACAACAACAGCAACAGTAACAACAACAACAACAACAACAACAACTACTGCAGCAACACTGCTGGCTGCCGTGTTTGTCAGAGGTTCAATGCAAACAAAATTTCCTTCATTGCACAATCAGTCTCACGCTTTTTCAGCTCCACGTAAGCTTCCTTTTGCCCAAATTTTATTTGATGGCTATTCAGCTTCATTTGACTTTCCAATGCCCTCTTCCAAAAA